TGTTTTACATAAGTAACATGATTTGTGTACATTCGACTTAACATAACATCATTTACTTGCATGATCATCTAGAAATCATCAATGACATAATTACCAAGTTTGTTTCAGTATAATAATTCACAAGATTGTTCATGACTTTAAAGGATTGTGCAATTTGCATCAGACCTGCGAAATTAGCTGCTGCATTGCAGAGTTCAAAAGACACTGTTCAGAATTCACAAAATTTTTTTGGAAACATAAGCCCCAACTACTTTTCTTCTGCTTCTACTACTTCCACTTGCTGGTATCCTCGCCTATAATCTGATATGCAGACCCATTTTGGCCCATGTAGGGAGCGTGGCGAATGTTTGATGTGGAGTGGTGGCATGGCATCTTTGTCCTCTACCGCGTTTATCTTCCTGTATTAGACGCACAGCCTTAGACTTCCGTCGTTCTTCTTTACCAGAGTAATGAGGGCGGCCCTTGATGATTTGGATAACTTTATGACCCCGTCTACAGTAATCTTATGGCCAGATAATGTTTGTCTTATAGCATAAGAGGTGATACACATTTGCATAACTAACAGATGGTTCTAGCTCTGCCGGCATCTTTCCGCATTGTAGAGACCTGAGCCCTTCCTTGATCTTTAGCAGTCCGCGACATTACGCGATATGGAGGTCAAATACAAAAAAGCATTCATAATACTACCACTTCCTACACCTCAACACATGGTAGAGTGACCACACTCTTTCCTCTTCTATATAGCGGAAAGGCCAGGCTATACCTCACAAGTGTCGGATACGAGAACTTTGCTTTCCAACAAATAAAAATCCCTGTCACTTACTGGGCATGCAATTTCATTATCAGCAAAAATGGCAAATACCTTAACATTCATTTTCACATTGCAGTTGTTCATATTCCTTTTGAAATCCTCAGCCAACCACTAATTTAAAATGTTTATGCGGTATCCTTTATTTTCACTTTATTAACATCGTTCTGAATCGACCACACACTAAGAGAGTGCTCCGGATGTACTTTACCCCAGAAATGTTTTACCGTTCAAATTTATAGAAATTCTAATCACTTATTGCCGAGCCTTACTGGGAGGTAAGAGCCCTATACTTATCTTTTTCTCCTGGTTAAATGACATCTAACAGGAATCGAAAACTGCAAGTGTGATGACAACTGCTCGAAGGCTGTAGTTCACGATAAATCATTTACTGCAATCACGTGCAACCAAAAATCACTGACTTAAACTCGAATTTAGACTCAGACTCATGCCTGCAATCTGGCTAGCATTTAGACTCAGGCGGACTTCAGAAACCGGTTGTGGTAAATTAATTCCTCCAAAGGACGAATGCACGACCTACCACTTTATCGACTGATCTGCCCATGGACTCTATTTGATGGACAGTATCCTAGGCCAAGAGTCCCAGCTTATTTTACAAACATGCACTGCCATTCTAAACCAATCGATTCAATCTCATGCAACTCATCCTGACTTCAAGCACGAATTCCACGTAGTTCTTGTCCGCTACCACCTGCAGTATTAAAATAACGGAACAGTTTGGAACAGATTTGCACACATTAGAAGTGAATGATGGAGAACCAGAATGATTTAAGTCAAAAATCGGCATTAATTCGACAAGATTTTCCTGGCCTTAATTGCTACTTAAAAAGGCATGAAAATTTTAGCAATGTCCGCGCACTAACTGGCTAGAATATTAACTAACCAATGAAAGGAGAAGCAAACTGACTGAAAGGTGGAAAAAAAATGGATGTGTGGGTTAGTTTGTATGTTAAATAGAAGTGGCAAGTACTAGAATTAGTAGGACATTGGCCAAAATGTTTAAATCTAGCTTTAATTTAAAGTTCTTAGTAAATATAAGCTTTTTCTGGAGCTTTAGATATTTTCCAGGAGCAATTTTGTTGACTGATGACTCCATGGCTGACGTATGTGGCGTAGTTTGTAAAATTAATTAAACTAACATATTTTGATAAGGTAAAATGTGAGGTTAATCAGTTATTTGTCGGGTCAGTGAGGTTTAGTTAACACTAGCATATAACGAATTTGTTTACTTCAGAAATCATAGTGCATGATATTAGAATGATATCATGAGAAGATTTACATTGCACGGGTGATGTTTTTAAAAAATTAGGTAGCAAGAAGCTATTTGCAAAATGTT